ACACTACACAAGCACGGCCTGCGAGAGAGATGAGCTGCCCAACCAGAGAGAGGCCTGGACTGGCCAGTTTGGACACTGCAGGCAGGGAAGGTGCACTAATCAGCTGGAGAGATCTCAAGGAAGATGAAAGCCACCAGAGATCTAGAAAATATGACCTAGGAGGAAAGACTAAGTCATATTAGAAAAAGTTTTTGAAGATCCAGCTAATAAATCACCAAACTGTCCACCCCAGAAAGGTAGAACATTAATTACTGCAGATAGCAATTAGCACTGACATCTACCAGGAGCAACACCACTACGCACCTTGCTCTCCCTAGGGCCTGGCATATAGGTCCTTTGTAGCCCTACATCCTCTCATTAGTGCCAAGTTTAAGGTTATTATGTGAAAACGAATGTTGACAAATTCCATTTCATGACAAAACAACTATGCAGTAACAAAATCTTCCTGAAAGTTTACCAGGCCAAGATAGAAAAGCTTCAGTCAGAAGTTAGGTGGGTGATGGGCGGTGTCAGAAAAAGATAAATGTACCTTTTTCAGTCTTACTGCAAGCAAAGAACATTTTACACATAGCAAGGCACTCTTTGAGAAGGTTCCTCACAGCCCTACTCCCTGCACAGGACTCACAGTTATACATGCATATGCTCAGACCCTCGGTGGAATACAGCTTCAAAGCCTTCTCAAAAATCACTCAAGTGGATATATGAATGCTGCAGATCCTAACAGACCATCCCAAATTAAGAAAATTATAGCTTTACACTATCAGTAACATGAGCACTATTAGAGCACATACAGTTTGATGTCAGTGACTTAAGTCAGGACAATTTGACACAAGACAAGGGAAATATAATTCTCTTGCCCTGGTGAAAACAAGCATAGTTCACCTACGGATGGAAAGCTAATGTTTTAGCAACTGTTTTAAGAATGTAAATGTTCTTATGCCCTGAGGAATGGCAGCCACTCACTAGAATTATACTTGTATATCTGCCTTTCTTTAAAAAGCTGTTCAAATGCCCTTAAGCTGTCTGAAAGAGAACAGCACTCAGCTCCACATGCACAAGCCTGGACTGCATGCAGTGTTATTCTCAGCAGCTTATGTCATATGTTCAGATATTTGGCATTTATTCATGTACCCCCTACACATGGTTCCTGCCAAACAAACAGCGCCAGGACCACACTAGAGACATTCACAGTGGCTGGCCAGCCTCAAGAGACATTCACAATTGTACCAAACACTGTAATTTCATGGTCGTGAATGTACCGAACAGAGGAGCCACACAAAGAATTAAAATGTGATGCTGTAATTTTCTAAACCAATACTAGCACTGTTGGCTCCCTCTGGTGCTAAATATACTGTAGTGTTACATACTAACCACCAGAGAAGTAAGGCAATGATATAATCCAATTATTTTGTACAGTAGGTGACAGACATTCTAGTAATAAGTGTTACAGCAGCATATTTCCTCCTGCAGATAAAATCTGTAAGTCGTTATTCACAGTCTGTACCAATAGTTCTTATCTGGAGAATATAAGACACACACCTTGAAGAACTGACATAGTGATCCCATACACACACATACCAGGCTCCCTTCCTCATGCCACATTTTAGCTTCCTAAAAGTAGTTTCCACCTTGTTTTTTACAAGCAGACTTAAAAACCATCCTCAGGCTATAATTCATTAGATTGGCAGTGACTCCTACAGCAGTTTTAAAAAGCTAACCCAAACCCACTTTTAAAACCACCCATTTATGCTACTGTGTACATTTAAAATATGCATTTGCTATGCTGGACAGACTACACAACGCAAATCTTTTTAACTAGTCTATTATTAAATCTGCTGTTCAACAAAGTGTATACAATAAAAATCAAGTCACTTGTTGTAGTCAGAGACGCAAGTGGCTGTTTGCATTTTTTAAACATTCTATTCACAGCTTTGACCTTCCAGTGACACACCAAAGTACGAAAGAATGATGACTTGCATCGTAAGCATTATTCCTTGAATTGTTGCATCATTTTTAACAACTATTTGAAACTTGCTTGCAGCTGTTCCAAACTACTACATTTCTGATGCAAAGCAAGGAAGTTTAAAAATCCAATCCAGAAGGGCTGGATTTTTGTTGCTTTTCTATCACTGTGTGGGAAGAAAGGAAGCAGGCAGCAGGTTTCTCTTTCCTTCCCTAGCACCTACTCCCTTTCTCAACAAGATAAAGGTAGAAAAGTTTAAGAATACTGCCCCATACGGAGCCTCCATTTCCCACTTAGCAGCAGATTTAAGCACCGCCATGCAGAACAAGGTGTATGGTATGATGTTAATCTCCTCCACCTCCTGGATTAGTAGCACCCTGCTATTAATTTCCAATAGAAGAGAGTTTAACCTTAAAAAAAATGGTAATGTCCCTGTGGTTGAAAGTGAGGCTGGTGACAAGGGCAAAAGAAAGGTGTTCTTGGTACGCCTGTTTTCATCCAGCTGTTCCTTGTACCTGTCAGCAGCAAACAGCTGGGACTGGAGCACCATGCGGGCTGCTAACCTGCGCCAACAGCTTCCAGACATCTTCTGTCTAGCCGCAATTAAACAAGTCTTGCAGGCATCCTCCAGTTACCAGTTTGTAAAGCCACCATGAGATATGGCTACACTTCTTAAAACTCCATAAAAAACACAGGTACGAAAGGGTCTTCTCGGCAAACACCTACTACCAAACCTCAGTCAACAGAAGAATTCCCCCTCCACTTCCTGAAAGCATAAATTCTATAATTTAACTACCACCATACTGTATCCTAATTAACCACACTTGATATTTTTATTTTAAGTCACCATAAATTCAAATTCTGAAAAGAAGTTCACAAGCACAGTAAGACCAGGAGCTGGAAGACCTAGATTTACTCTCAAACATCATCTTGACTCTCAGTGCAAAGCCTGTGCCCCCAGATGTTAAATATGGGTAATATTAAAATTTTCCTTTCATTTACCTTGAAGAAAGGTAGTATTCACAGTTGTTTTATTAATACCCATCTAGTAAGAAATGTAATGCCATTGCTTTATAATGGGGCTCTATTTGTAGGATTTTGAGCAGCAGCTATGTGCAGTTTTCTCCATGAGTGAAACCAAAATTATTTTGTCATAGAAAACACTATCTCCTGTTAAAATTAAAGATTATCTCTTTAGATATGAAATACAATTTTATACGAATTTTAAATAATACAAACCACGTATATCACGTGATTTTATTTAATTCTAAAATAGTAACTTTTAAAGCAAATGTTTTTCCTAAATTGAGACTCAATATTAAAAAAGAGCTTTTTCTGTGATGTATAACTGTACAACATTATTATAATTTACAACATGATTAACAGCAAGTATACTTAAAGGAAATGCCTGCAACATCACTAAGTGGTCTTCCTTTTGCTTCAGTAGCTTCTAGGGGGTATTCTGCCTTTTCAGAGGAATGAAAAGGAATCATCTCAACCAACTTCTGGTCAGAAATCCAGAAAGAACAGTATTCATTATTGTTAAGTCACACAAATGTATTACTTGTACATAAAAAGAAGCAGCACACTGCTGGTGGATATCAAAAAATAGCTTTTCTTCCTCAGCATGGACGGTATTGTGTAATGTTAGCAAGCAACTAGGTTACAAGCTGTCACTTCAGAAACTTCACCATTGAATGTAAACACCTTTCCAGTGTGAAAAGAATAATGCAAACTGCCTCTGTAGCTGCCACTGTATAACAAGCCTTCATATAGAGTGCAGAGGATTATATACTCTGCAGAGACACCAAAGACTGCTGCTAGCCATCATGGGCAACGTATTTCCAAATGCTGCTCACAGCTTGGGCCCCGAGAGGCGGGCTGCAGGTTATACAGCATTAATATTCATACAGCAAGCCTGAAAAAAACCACTGTAATTTAGACAGCCTTTAAGCAGCTGATCAAAAGGCTCTGACGGGGGAGATCTAAGCAACAGTTAAAGGATATTTCCATTTTAACTGCTTATCTGCTTGGAAGATCACCACCTCTCCAAGAGGGCTGGCAGAGTGGGATGGTGTGCCCATGCCACAGCCCCTGCAGCTTGTACCTTTGTATACCATCTTCAGCTGCAAAGGCAAGTAAATGCACACTAAGCACCACATCAAATTGAGTAAGCTGATGCCAAGCGTCATCACTACAGTGCCAGTAGAGTTACTGAACAGATTACTAGGGGACAGAAACACCTTGAACCACTGCATTTCCTTGCTCTGTCACAACAGAGGAAGGAAAAGATCTTGCACAAACATAATCCTCCTGATCCCAAAGTAAATTATGCCCAAATTGTCCACCCATTAAAAAAAAAGAAACTGGTACATGAAGTATAAAAACTTTCATAATGAACGCCTGACATTCCTGTGATCAACACACACCTGCTTAACACAGCTTTCCTCATGCTGTGGAGCAAAATATCAATAAGACGACACAACTATTTCACAGAATCATAGAATAGTTAGGGTTGGAAAGGACCTTAAGATCATCAAGTTCCAACCCCCCTGCCATGGGCAGGGACACCTCGCTCTAAGCCATATTACCCAAGGCCTCCTCCAACCTGGCTTTGAACAACATCAGGGATGGAGCATTCACAACCTCCCTGGACAACCTATTCCAGTGCCTCACTCCCCTAACCTACCCTATTTCAAGATAAACCACTCTTCTCTCAGCCACAAGCCAAGACTTTAATTATTGAAACACAGACTGAGGCAAATGACACTTATGTCAAATATATAAGCGCCCTTCTTCAATGTTCTACAAGCAAACTCAAGCCCTTTATTAAAAGCACATTTTCTGGGTTAAGGCCTCATTTTATCCAAACATCAAGAACTCCTACCAGGATTACCTCTCACGTATGTTTTTACAAATACATGGACCAGAACCTAGCAACTTTACTGAGTAAGCACCTCTCCTGCAAGTCAGTTTCTACATCATAACTTTTACATCATCTAATCAGTGCAGCAGGAGCTGTGAGCATGTTACTCACCGATCGATCACAATCTCCTTCTGTCTTAGCAGACCCTCTTTAATTTTCATTAGAGATTCCCAGTTGCTGAAGTCCTGATAGCTGGTAGCTGGGTAACTCTGACGAGATGTTCCACTTGGAACCTGCATAAAACAATTGTAAAATTAGCCTCCTAAACAACAGAGGTAAATAATATCCTAGATATCTATCTGGGCATTTACAAAGGAGTTTGTTGTTTCAGAAACCTGACAACTGCTTTTCAGTTTAATTCAGATTTGCTTTATGTAAAACAACCTTTTTTATAAAAAAGTTTATTGAAACAAACTTCAGCCCAGTGCAAGTGATTTCAAACATTTTATTTTTATTTTTTTTAATCATTTTACATAGTTACAACAAACATCACAAAACGTTCAGATCCTGCTGCAATTCTTGTAAGCACTGCAAACAAATTGGTTTGATAGCTTTAGACCTGCTGGTAACTGCAGCTAGCTGTTACCATTCACTTGGTTGACTCCCACCTGTAACTTTAGCATACAGAAAAAAAGAAATGCCCCTTGATATGTGTACATTTAAAGTACAGAATATGGGAATACAGTTCTGGTTAAATTCTGTTTCCAACAATAAACGTTTCACAAGTAACAGGTTTCAGGCTTTCCATTTATCTTCACAAAAGCCAGGCTATGTGCCTTACAACGAATGGAGGACCACAGCTGAACTTAATATGAACCAACAACATTATGGTTCAGAAGTAAACTAACTAGGACATTTTATCAAGAACATTTTTATACTCAAACATAAAAAGTCTTACAAATTTATATCAGGAATCCACATAAGGGAAAGATTTAGTTAGAACTTTTGTGATCAGAATGAGGGATCCCAGCATCAGCTACCATGAAGTATCACCATCCTCCACCAGTTTTTTAATCCTGAAGAAAAGATTTTTCTTTTTATTATCTGGGAGGCACCCTGGCCTATCTTGCCTTTTTAAGTTTTTGGAAAAAAAGCAGAAGGAAAAAGGTGGAAAATAAAATATGACCTTTTTATTATTTTAAATAGATTTTAGGCTGTTTTTACTTGTACTGCTCTAAAATATTTTAAATTTAATTTGAAGTTACAATTAACTGTATTAGGACCAAGACATATCATCAACAATTAAAATAAGGTAAACAACTGTCAAGCAGGCCATGCTTCTTCCTGTGTATTTTAATACTGAATGGAGAGAATCCATTGCATAAAAACCCCAAACCATAATGTGCTGGTCAGGAGCCACTACTGAAATGGACAGAAACACATTTTCCATCTTTTCATCGTAACTTAAAATCAGAGACAAAATGACACAACTTGCTAGTTTTAAAATCTTTCAAGACTGTCACACACATACTCCTCTTCCCGTAATCCTGGGATAAACAGTGCATTGCGAGGAAAAGTAAAATAATATTAAATGGAAATTTTATTTTTAAAAGGTTCACTGACTTACAGAACACCACCAGGGACGGAGAATTCACAACTTCCCTGGGCAACCCATTCCAGTGCCTCACCACCCTTACAGTAAAGAACTTCTTCCTTATCTAAACTTCCCCTGTTTAAGTTTGAACACATTACCCCTTGTCCTGTTGTTACAGTCCCTGATAAAGAGACCCTCACCTACATCCTTGTAGGCCCCCTTCACATACTGGAAGGCTGCTATGATGAGGGCCTCCACGCAGTCTTTTCTTCTCCAGGCTGAACAGCCCCAACTTTCTGAGCCAATCTTCATATGGGAGGTGCTCCAGTCCCCTGATCATCCTCGTGGCCCTCCTCTGCACTTGTTCCAACAGCTCCATGTCCTTCTTATGCTGAGGACATCAGAACTGTACATAATACTCCAAGTGAGGTCCCACAAGAGCAGAGTAGAGGGGCAGGATCACCTCCTTTGACCTGCTGGTCACACTCCTTTTGATGCAGCCCAGGATACGGTTGGCTTTCTGGGCTGCAAGCACATGCTACTGGTTCATAGGACTATGGTTAATATTTCTTGTTCCATGCTCATTCATAATTACATCCCCCAAGCAATAAGACTAACAGAAAGCATTTGAAAATTCTCTCAAATGTGGTGCCTAAAAAAAAGCACCTATACAACTGCTTACTGCAAGCATATTCTAGGTTTGAAAGTTTTGTGGGAATAAAATTTTTAACACCTGCAATTTCTGCTAAGTCAGTTCATTAAACCTATGGTTGTTCAAGGAAGTTACGTTAAAGATGGCACTGTGCTCTACTAGGAGGCAAGGAATAGCAAAGCTAAGTGCTGCCTGGATTAAGATCTACTCATTTGTGATGGATTTAACAGTTGTCTTGCTTCATCTTTCATGCACAATGACCAATATTACCATTAAAAAAGAAATCGTAATTCAGTTTCATCGCCTTAGGTCCCTTTTGTTTGGGCAACATTCTAGTAAGACTTAGGAAAGATACCAAGTCATGAGTCTTCCTGTAAGTAATACATGTGCGGAGTCTTTAAGGATCAATTAATCTAAATTTAACCTTGCCTGGGTCACTCAATCCAGACGAGATAAACTTCAAAGTCGTGTTTGGTGCTCACAGAATACTTTAGGATTGTCACATATTGTTTTGTATTACAGTGATCCACATGACTGGCTGAATTAACAGACACCAGCTCAAAACTATTTCAGTGAAAGTCTCTTAGTCACAGATGCCGTGTCATGCAATATAAACTGACAACACCAGGAGCTATCACTGTACACTGTGTCATGATTTTTTTTCCTTTGCTTCTCCCACTACAGTGCTGAAAAATGCTTTTCTATATCCCCCTCAACAGCACTACACCACAGCCAAAAAAAGAGAAACAGTCCTTAATGCAGTTGGGATCAGGTAAATTTCAGAGCCAGAAATTCAATCTCTACCCAAAAGAAACAGCCCACAAGGGTCTGACATGAGAAACGAGAAATATATGACCTTTATAAAGCAAATCAACCCACTTACTGAACACAGTGAATTTTGTCTTTAAACTACAGAAACTAAGAGATGAAACACAACTATTTAAATATGAACCCATCTTAACTGAAAACATTCTAGAAGTTACCGGTGGTTCTCTAGCAAGATTCTTCAGTGGAAGCCCCTTACTTCAATCTAGCACCTTTGCAAACTTAAGTTTGCCCTAAAATTAGAAAGAAACTCTTTAACTTTGGTACAATAAGTGCCTATACAAGAAGTCAATTAAACATTAAAACTGCTGAAAACCAAGGCAAGAAGTTTTGTAAAGTTAAGAACAGACTAGTATTTTGCCCATTAAATGATACTAGTAGTGTTGGTTTGGTTTTTAACCTACTATATAAGGCCTCCTTAGCTGATTGACTGAGGTGCTTTTGGCTTTGGAATATAGCTAATCTTATGGAGTATATACATACATAACAACAAATAGAATATTTTGTATCATAACTGTGTGCTTCCATTTGTCACTCTGAACAGATGAAAACAACAACAAAAAATCGTTTCTGATATCATGTTTCAGCCAATTAAAAAAAAAAAAAAAAGCTAAAATTACTCCTTAGCACTTCCAAGAATTACAAGACACTTGACTCATTTATGAGCACGTGGTGTTGACTACTCCAAACAGCTTTCTAGCTGCTTTGAATGGTGTGGCAACATACAAGTGGTCCATTTAGACTCAAGTATTTTGTCTCCCAAGTATACAAAGCCAAATAATGAGAGTAAGCTACACTTTTAGGACTCATATACAGAAAGCCATACACAACTTCAAGTCCTCAAATTGAATTCTCCACAGCTACAAAGCAAAATACCAGCCCTATAAAATACAACTATTTTTGTCACCTGGCACCTTTTCCAAGAGTTATCAGCCTTGGACTGAGAACATCTGTTCAGTTAAAACAGTGTCCTTTGCACAGTGGCATCCAAAGGTCCCCACTAGCTTGTTTTTTGACAAGGGCTTGGCCTTGACTTTCACAACCTGGCAAGCCTTCAAGTCACTGCTGAGGCACAGCTAGCTGCTGGGGGGAAAACAGATTAAGAAAATATTTCCTATGTTAGCCTATATCCAAATATTTATTACCGGAACACACATTACAGACTGGTTCCATCATGTTTCTTAACAGTGAGAAAATAATTTTTCTCTGGACAATGACATTTGAGTAAGTTAGGCCAATCATGGCTGCAGCTTTAATTGTGCTAATCAAAATAATCTTCTTCAAACATGCTTGTCATTTCAGCCTAAATCAGTTCAGTGTCTCAGCACAGAGTAGCACAGCATTCCCTGTAGCGTGCTGTATTACGAAGTAAAGGTGTAGTCCAAAAATAACAAAGTAATAGCTGATCTCACAGAATAGCGGAACTACAGCATCACAGAATGGTTGAGATTGGAAGGGACCTTAAAGCTCATCTAGCTGCAAGCCTCCTGCCATGGGCAGGAACACCTTCCACTATACCAGGTTGCTCAAAAGCAGCAATAGATTTTAATGTTTTTTTTTCCCTGAAAGTTGCATTTTAAATAATTTTGCACTATCCCTACTACAGCTGTAACGTTTTCACAGCCCATTACTAACAGCAAAGAGAGCAACAGAAGTTATGCAAAGTAAATGATCCCTTTTGGCCAACTGCCTGTGCTGCCCTGCTATCATTAACCCCCCTCTGCAGGTATCATTCTTCTCTCTCTGCATTTTACAGGCATTCAGTATTCAGGAGAAAGCTAATTCCTTAGCAGCAGCTAATCCAAAGCAAAAAATTTGCACAACCAATATCAGCAAGAGCACAAATGGTTCCGTTTATTCACCTGACAGTGGAGGAAAAAGGAATAGGAGTGTCCGTATAGAAGCATCTTCACAGGTTGTGCCTCAGGGACACAGCACTTGCCCTACCATCTCACTGAGCAATGAGGGAGAAAGAAGAGGTGGATGTGGCATCAGCAAGCCCAAATGGAGTATTATTACAGAGAAGCCTCTTGCTCTTTGCTTCCCTGTGATGGGAAAAGGATTAGATCTGTAAAGGCAGAGCAGCCATCCTTGGTGAACTCTGCAGCTGCTCCCTTCCCTGGGTAAGGAAAGAAGGGTTTATCCATTGCTTCCTTCCCACCCAGATTTCCTCCTAACATCAGGCCAAGTGATTCAGTTCAACAGCAATGTTAATTCATACA